GAATACTATGAGTGAACAGGCGTGAGCATATCTATGGATTGTATTGTTTTAAAACTAATAGTGAACAGGCGAGAGTATGTCTATGGATTGTATTGTTTTGAATACTATGAGTGAACAGACGCGAGTATGTCTATGGATTGTATTGTTTTAAAACTATGAGTGAACAGACGCGAGTATATCTGAGGATTGTATTGTTTTAAAACTATAAGTGAACAGGCGAGAGTATATCTATGGATTGTATTGTTTTAGAAGTATTAGTGAACAGACGCGAGTATGTCTATGGATTGTATTGTGTTGGTTGTTGGACATGTGTCTATGTCGTCTATGTGGCGGAGTGTCGTGTTGTTCGATTGGACGCACAGTACGGTCATGCTTGTTTGCTGCTATGTCGCATATTATACTTCCATGTTGCATATTATGCTTCTATGTCGCATATCGTGCTTCCATGTTGCATATTAGATATTTCGGTTTTATGTTGCATGTTTTGTTTCTATGTCGCATATTATACTTTCGTGTTGTATATTATGCTTCTATGTCGCATATTGAATATTATGGATTTATGTTGCATGTTTTGCTTCTATGTCGCATATTGTGCTTCCATGCTGCATATATGCTTCTGTGTAATATGCTAAATATGATGGTTCCATGTTACATATTATGCTACTATGTATATGATGCTCCTTTGTTGTATCTTACGCTTCCATGTCGCAATTGTGTGTTGTATAGATGTTAGTATCCCCTATCATACGTTCCTTATTGTTTTCATGCCCGTGGTAGTGTGTCGCAAATTCTGGTTATAGTTCTGTGCACTGTGGTTTTAGCTGTCGCTAATAAACTGGCCACCACATGGCCGTATCCGTCCCACATAAACATGGTAATAAACCCTAAAAGCCTATGCCGAGGATGACCATGCTCTGCCCCGCCCATCTGTGGCATTGCATATCATTGGCTTTGTCGTATGAATCTGTCATGGTATAAATCCGTTTCAATTCGTATGTATCTCTCTTTTGGGCTCCACAATCGTGCCAGATCACTCACAGTAGCAACGGAATATCAGTCACTCAATTGGGCAGGGCTCCATAGCAATCCCACCCACCCACCCACCAGTCGTATGTATCTCTCTTGGGACTCTTCCATAAAGTCTCCTTCACCTTTTTGTCAGCATGTACCACAAACTAAGCTTATCGTTTACTTCCGCATTGTCTCTCGTCCTAATCTGGCTTGATCATGTTACCTTGGCAACCGCCCGGATGGTTGCAACCAGATATGATGGCTTGGGGAGAAGAAAGGTAAGCGTCTCACCACCCCGTCGTGTGACGAATGCTGTGCTGCTGTTGACGTGCGTGCTGGTTTTGCACTCCGTTTCCTTCACCACGGATGTGTCACATTGTATGTGTTGTGAAGTGTCTTTGACATCCTCTGAGCGTCTGATCAGCGCTGTGACCTACACTTACGCTTTGACGCGCTGCTATGGCGCTGCTATGGCGCTGCGTGGCGGCTTGTTGACTACACCCAAGTGTGGGCCACGTTCCTACGACGCAATACATACTGACGCGTCAATTCACATAACAATCCCATAGACTCTCGCTTAGCCTATGCATCTATGCCTGCCCCGAGGGATGCGTAAATGCGTAGTTTAGTATGTGTCTGTGTGTACGTACATATATTCCCATTTGCACCTATTTTTATCGCTCCAATTGGCACATGTATGTTACGCTGGTTCTGCTGGTTACCCATTGTGGGTAGACATCGCAGAGGAATATCACTAACCAACCCTCACTCCTGCTTAATTGTACAGTACCAATGACCCGGTAGACACCATCCTCAACATGCAAGACGAAAGTATCACAGGTATTTTTTTTTGGTTGTGGGGTGTGCATGCCTGTGTGTTTACAATCAAGCCAACGCCTCTTATCCGCCTGGAAGTCATCCCCTTTACGTCTCCAGTCCATTTGCACATCCTTTTAATAGCTATCCCACCTCCATAGCACATCAGCTGAGATGAAGGATATGAATGAAACAATATTGATCGTTGGTCGTATGTGTATGGCACTGATGCTCTCGTTTTATATACAGCAACCAATGACGTCTTGCTCTGATACGGGCTCGTGTGCTTACCTACTAGAGACAATTAGGTTAAGCTAGTAGTGACCTGTCGGTAACCATGACTACCGCATCATGTACAAGCACCCCATGCCATCGCGTCCCGTCCCGTCCCGTCCTCGTGTTTGTTCATAAAAAAGTATGCCATTGGACTCGGTGCTTGGGTCGTTTATACTCTCCCATGGCACTTACACTGGCATTCGATTGGATAGTCGGTGAAATGTTCATTGCATTTACCCTGTCATTCGATTGGATAGTCGGTGGGTTGTTGCCGCTGTGTGACAGTTGCCTGCTGTTGCGTGCTTTCAGAGACACTCACTGTCTGTGGCGTTACACAATCACTTTGATCCATTGAACGCTCACTGTCTCTGGCCTTAAACAGTTTAAACAATCACTTTGATCGGTATTGACGAGAATCCTCTCAAATCCGAACTGTGACACGCATTTTTGGTATTTCGATACAGAAGATGGTGGTACATCTCTGGCCCAGGTAGTCTGTCACGCACTTCCATTGCTACATTTATTAAATATAACTACATTCAATACAGACTCAGCTCAAGAAACGTGACCCAAATACCGACTCCAACGCACCTCTCAGCATTACACAGGATATACACAACTTTAGTTGAACAAACTATCCCAAGTAAACCAAATACAGTCACTAACGCACCACTCAGCACTACACAGGATATACACACCTTTAGTTGAACAAACTATCTTAAATAAACCAAATACAGTCACTAACGCACCACTCAGCACTACACAGGATATACACACCTTTAGTTGAACAAACTATCTCATATAAACCAAATACAGTCACTAACGCACCACCCAACTCTACACGGGATATACACACCTTTAGTTGAATAAACTATCTCAAATAAACCAAATACAGTCACTAACGCACCACTCAGCACTACACAGGATATATACACCTTTAGTTGAACTAACTATCTCAAATAAACCCAATACAGTCACTAACGTACCGCAATACATTGCTCTGGTTGTTACACAGAATCCGCTTCAGACACAGGCACAGCTGCGGCCAGTCTACTGTCAATCATCACCAGTCAACGAGACCGCTTCAAATCACGCAACGAGGCCTTGGAATCGGTGTGTGCAATAAGTACAGGAGGTTATATGAATACAATAGTGTCTATGAAAAAATGTGTACAATATGACCCGCATGCATAGGTAAAGGAGGTTATATGAATGCAATAGTCGCCTAAGAATAGAGACCCACATGCATATGTACAGGAGGTTTTATGAATACAATAGTCGCCTAAGAATAAATGTGTGCAACATGACGCACAAGCATATGTACAGGAGGTTTTATGAATGCAATAGTCGCCTAAGAATAGATGTGTACATTATGACCCACATGCATATGTACAGGAGGTTATATGAATACAATAGTCGTCTAAGAATAGATGTGTACAATATGTCCCATTTCAAGACAGTTCTCAGATAGGCAATCGCTATGGCCGTATTATTCCCGCTACACCTAGAGTTAACACACCCGTCGCACCAATCGCCTACGCCTCAGGACACCAACAGGCTCAAACACGAGCTTGCGCAATACTCTGGCGAAGTAGCCAGCCTCAAGGGCGACAACCTCAAACTGTACGAGAAGATCAAGTTCTTGCAAAGCTACCAGGGACAGAAACAGGTATGTTAAACGTTGCTATGTAATTCTGTCAAGTCGTGCACTCGCATATGATTGCCCGGCGTTGTTGCGAAGGCTTGCGCATATAACGTCGCGTACTCTTATGACTGTGGGCGGCTTGTGGAAGCGTTATTTTGTTGATGGAGTCAATCAGAACATCTGTGTACGGGCATTTTCTGGCCATTGATTTGGTGTGTGGTTATATGTCTCATATTATATATATATATATATATATATATATATATACATGACAAATAGTACGTTGGTA